TGTGAGTGAGAGTGTTAGAGTCCCACACCGATTACACACGCTCAAGCCCTTATTTGGTTTTGTTTTGTTTTTTATTTTTTGTTTTTTGTTCAGAGCCTTATTTGGTTTATAGAAGGGGGTAATTCTCCCATTCAATAAGATTTTATTAGGTGAGAAGTCAAACACATCTTAAATTCTATCAGTTATTATTCATACTAGAGGGGGTTTGGTTTATAAGAAGAGGCAATCCTCCTATTCAACAAAATCTTATTGGGTGAGGAGTCAGAGGCATTTCAAATTCTATAATTTATTATTCATACTAGAGTGGGTTTGGAAAAAGAAGAAGAAAATTGGTCAAAAGATGCTCTTTCAAATAGTAAATTTCTAGGAAATTTTTTCCATGTATGGGACCCAAATTAATCTTATTCAAGAATGTAAGGTGTATATAAATCATAATTTAATTGTTATATATATATATATATAACAATTAAATCATGATCTATATGCACCCTATATATATGCATTGACTTAAGTCAATTTTAATTAATTCTATAATTTTATAATCTCTATAGAGTATTGATGGGCCAACGTTCACAAACCAACAATAGGTTTATAAAGGGGGTAATCCTCCCATTAAAAAATGCCTTATTTGGTTTCCTTTTTTTTTTTTTTTTTTTTTCAAAGCCTTATTTGGTTTATAGGAGAGGGTAATCCTCCCATTCAATAAAACTTTATTAGGTGAGGAGTCAAACTCATCTTAAATTCTATCAATTATTATTTATACTAGAGGGGGTTTTATTTATAAGAAGAGGTAATCCTCCCATTCAACAAAGCCTTATTAGGTGAGGAGTCAGGGCCACCTTCAAATTCAATTGTAATCCAATAGAAAGTACTTGCGAAGACAATAAATATTTTCTTTCATATTGATAGTTAAAGTCATGAATAGAAAGTCCTACTAACAAAAATGAATAACTGCAATTAAAACTATATCAGGTAATTAATTTTATGGGCTCAAAGGATTTTACAGACAGAATTTACGGAAAATTGAGAAGCTCCCTTAAGCCACATAATTGGGTTTAGTGAAACTGCTCATTTCTAATTTTAGTGCTTTTGAATGTGTAATCTATTGTGCACCATAGAGAAACAGCAAAAATATTTATGGGTACGTTTGGTTTAGTATTTTGGATAGGATTTTAGGGATAGTATTGAGTTATTGGATAGGGGAGTATTACGAGGTAAATTTTAAAAATTTATGAAAAAGCCCTTAGGTTTACTAATTTAACTAAAGACCCTAACATATAAAATGACCAAAACACCCCCACCACCTGCAGTGTCAGATTCCGGCCACCACCGCCGGAATCTGGCCGAAAAATTTCGTTACGACACAGAGCAGTCGGATCTGTGCCGTAACACGTCGTTATGGCCTTTTCCGGCCAGATCCATGGTGGATCTGGCCGGAAAAGGCCAGATCTATGGTCTGTTATGGCCGTCGACAGCCGGAAAAGGCCAAACGAGGGCCATCTTTGGCCGTCAGCGACGGCCAAAGATGTGGCCGTCGTTTTCGGTCAACGACGGCCATTTCTTTGGCCGTCGCTGACGGCCAGATCTGGCCGTTTTCGGCCAGATCTGTGGTGGATCTGGCCGGAAAAGGCCACAGCGGTGAACTTTCGGCCATTTATGGTCGGAAGTTAGGCCGTTGTACAGATTCCGGCTATCACCGACGGTGGTTGCCGGAATCTGACAAGTTGGGTTGATGGGGGTGTTTTTGTTAATTTTTAAACTTTTTTTTAGGGGGTATTTAGTGAAATTAATAACCTTATGGGGTTTAAATGTAATTAAAAAATAGGGTAATATTTCTGGAATAATGTGCCAAACATTATTTGGAGAATAGGATCCAGAATAGGGATAAAAATAGTAAGCCAAACATGCAGTATATGATCCTTTTGGGATGAAGTCTCTTGTCCTGTAATTAATCAGGAAACACATTTGAAATGATACAAAACATTTACAATACACAAAATCTAGTGTACCGAAATAATATGCTGTTTTAACTTAATTGAAAACTATCTTGACCATCAGAGAATTGAATACAATGGAAATGGCATCCAAGGCTTTTAGAGGCAATTGCCAACAAATTTAATTCATTACCACTGAAATACACTATTACTTACAACGTGACTTCAAATGGTGAAGGATATGGTTGAGTTGTATTCTGACATGATTGGAACACAAGAAGCTCCAAATTCCATTGCATGAATGAAAGCTTGTCGTCAAGGGAAAGCCAAGGGTTGTAATTCTGCTCTTGGAGACTAATCCATCGTTAACCTTGAAGATGAATGTGCATCTTCCATAGCCTGCGGACAAGGGCATCTTGTTTGATGGAACAAATTAATGACGGAGCTCATGCAGAAACTGTTCAGAACACATTAGAGTTGTGTCCGAATTCTCCTAGAAGAGAAAATAGAAATGGATTTTATCCATTGTGCAGGTTGTATCACAGGATATTCTTGGAGATATCAAGATTGATTTTGAGGGTTGACCAAGACCATGCTCTGCAATACAAGTACAAGTCGCACTCGGAGTTCCAATCCATGAAGATTTATTGTTGAATTCTCTTGCTTCCTTTCAGTACCTGAAAAAAGAGGGGGTAATAGTGTGTTATCTTTGTTTTAACTGCTTTGAATAGTAAAAAAAAAAAAAAAAAAAAAAGACTTCGCAAGATATTATCTCCAGAAAAATTGAAACAGCTCAGATGAAAAATCAAAACAGAGGTCATACAGATAACAGAAATGAAAAGCATTACTGCAAATCCCCTCCTCTTCTCCAGTTGATGACATTCTGCTATTCTCAATCTTGTAGACCACAATGCATTATAGCCATTTTTGATAAATTTCTTTACCCCAGTGAAAAGAAATCTACCCTGAAACGCTGATTCATGATTATTAGCGTTGAAATCTTGAGTAATGCAAAGTGGATAACTCAAAGACTATATAATCTGCCATTGACTAATATATTACCAAGATTAATACTTTCACTAATCAAAAGCAGAGAGGATTTCTAAAGAAACCTATTGCATGTCTGTATTTTAGCATATTAAATTTGAAAATAAATTCAAAAACCATGTTGCACATTTGAGACAATAGCACCATATACAACTTGATACTAAATGTCATCTAATTCTAGATTAGAAATACAAAAATTGAAAAAGGATGATCAAAAATCAACTGTGGCTTGTGGGTTGCTGGCAGCTGCTGTCCAATTGATAATTTAGTTTGTTGCTGGCACCAAAACAAAAATATGTGCGTTAAGTTTCCTTAATAAGAAAAAGAAAAGTATTTAATATCCATATAAGCATATGCAAACCTCAATGAGCCATAAAAGGATTTTATGGAGTGAATTTCAAGCAAACGGAGAAGCTCCTTAACAAACCGCATGATTTATCCTGATACGAATTTAAGGGTGTCAGTTTCGGATGAAAATTAAACTTGGAAAAAATATAATTGTAAATCGTCTTCTCTTCTCCGGCTGTTCACATTGTGCTATGTCCTCTCTTGTTTTATTTCATACTTGGGAATACGTAATGGAAATTTCTTTTTGAGGCTGTAGAAATAGTACATAATTTTTATGAAAAACTATACCCATACCCAGCAAACATAATTTTTATAACCATACCTAGATAAATCCCTTCACGGTTAATAAATCGTTAATATGTAATTAGGATTAATAAAATGATGAGTTATTGAATATTTACTTAGTTGACCTTTTCATGTTTATTTTAATACTAAAAACTTAATGATACAGAGATTTTTATTATTATTAATTATACCTAAGATATTAGCTTACATATAATTAACATCCTCTTAGTTTTCTTTATGGTATTATTGCTATTGAGAGAGAGCATAGGAAACTTACGACTTTCCATGGAAAAGATTTCAGTCCGAATGAATACGGATCATTGTATATTTGGGCCAGTGGGGATTGGGCTAGGCTTTGCAAAAGATTGGAGTCTTTGGACCATAAATCTTATGGACATTAGTGGTGGTGATGGTGGTGGAAGTGAGAGAGTGAGAGAAGGCATATTTTTAACCGTTGGTGAGAGAGTGAGTAGATGGTGGAGATCCGGTGTTGATTGAAAAAGAATAAAATATTTTTGAGAAAAAATTAATTTAAATAAAGGAAAATGTGAGTTGATTGTTACTAGAAGTTTTGGTAGATGATAAAGAAGAAAGGAGAAAGAGTTCGCTTTCGTTGAGCGGTTGGGAATTTTAATATTTCTTTTGGATAATTTTATCCTTTGACCATGAGTCAATTAAATTTTTTTTTTTTTCTTGTTACAAAAAATAATAATATTAAGATAATATATCAAAATTTTTAGTTTCATTTTAATATTTTTTTTATATGTAAAATTAATCTCAACAATGTCTTTGAACTTGCTATGAACACAACAAAAGTTTTAATACCTAATTCTAATGATTTTGCCAACCTCTTTTCATTTCTTTTTGTCTTTTAAAATCTATTTATTTATATTTTACATTAATTTTAATTTTAATTTTAATATGTAACCACTTTGTAAATTACTTTCATACCCTTTCACATAATCAAATCCAACACCAAGAAACTATTATTTATTAGGAGAGATTGACTTAATCCACTATGAACTTTTGATCTAATTTCAAGGTTCCGAACTTTCAAATATTAAGAAATATTCCCCTAAAACTAACAACCGTTAATCGAAACTTTCAAATGTTATTTAAGAAGTCATGCCCAAGGGCAGGGGGTAGTGTAGTTCCATGCATGGATTGACCAAGGTTCTACACTAGTTTAGGATATACTTGAATTTCTTTTCTATCTTAATTATGTTTATAGCTTGTAGTGCTTAAGCAACCATGTCCAAAAAGAAACAATAATACATGCGTTGAACAATGCTTGTTATTAATGACAAGTTAATTTTTCAAGAAATACAGAAAACAAAAAGGAGATAGATCTGATGGAAGCTCACCAAGCAAATGCTAAAACTAGACATCTCTTTTAAAATGTAACTTAGTGATACAGAGCTATTTATTAAATGCCTCAAATTAACTAATTTTCCCTTCCATGAGGTAATTTCCCTAGCATACAACCACTAATATCTAAAGTGTGCAATATGTTGAAATCACAACTAAAACACACAACAAATAAAACAGAAAAGTAAAGCGGGCATAATCAATTTACCCTGGTTTGTTCTCAATTACTGAGAACTACGTCCAACATTCAAATAGAACAATTTTATTGAGTTTCAAGAATCTGAAGAATACAATGATAAAAGAATATCGACAGCTCACTTTTTCTCTATTTTTCTCACACTACGGTTTTTCTACCATAACATTATGCATATAATAGTAACCCTAACCTTATTTGGGCCAAACCGATCAAACTTGACCCAAACCCAAATATTTACAAGTCAATTCTAAGCCCAATTACTAATTGAGCTTACTATCAAGGAGGTGCTGCCTCCCACCCCTGCCTAGTCACCATCGAACGAGACCCCGAATGTGTCAATGTAAGCCGATAATCCTTCAAAGTCATGCAAGAACCATATCCAACACAACACACAAACTTTCAGGGTAACTTCTCCACATAATTTCTTCATACTAGCCTTGTTAGCATGACTAGTAAACTGGTTCTGCATTTTTAAGGAAAAAACAGAACTTATGACACAAAGGAATGATTTGGTTTCCAATAACCATCAATAAATGAAAGAAACACACAGAGCCGTGAGAGAAAGAATTATATAACTAACCTTTTGAGTCCAATGACCAATTTATTTGGTGGTGTCATCCAAAATCAAAGTAACAATGACTTGTCATTAAAATAGCTTCCTTTTTTCTCTCCTCTGTGAATAGAAAGTAACATTTCTTAATTTAAAATTGGCACCTAAACAATAAAATCGGACAATTATTTTTGAGAAGTGGAGCTGTGACCTTTAAGATATATTGACAGAGATTATATAGCATATTTCAAGGTATCAATAGAAATTTATTTTGCAGAGATTATATAGCATATTTCAAGGTATCAATAGAAATTTATTTTGCAGGAAAGACACACTGAAAGAAAAGAAATATAAATATAGACCTGAGGAAGCTCACCAAGCAAATGTGAAAACAAGACGTTGACCACTTGAGCCTCAATGAAGTTTCAGGAATTATTGAAATTATCGACCAATAAAATTTGGTCCTTCAATATTTTCTCTGCTGATTGGTGGAGGAGCTTTAAATTCTTGGAATAGCTACCATGAGTAGCAAATGAATTCTGGATATTAAAGGAAGAAACAAATCAATTCTGTGATTGGAACTTAAACAAATGAAGAAACAAAACAGATCAGTGTCAAGCATGACTAACCAATTTGATATGTGCAGCAGGCACACCATTGAAGTCCTTTACAGAAAATTCTCAACATATTTAGCCTTAGTAGTAAATCAATTCTGCATATGAGGAAACACACCATCATCAGTCAAATATCCACAATATGCTTTTTTATTGAACATAAATAAACGAAAGAACTGAGGGAGAATCACCACGCATAACTAATTAATGTGGTCTTTGGGGTAGAAACAAAATTTGATTCCTTTGTTGTAACTTCCTGGCACCGTTCTCCATGATACAAAATTTAGAAAAATGTTCTGGTGTAGCTGCTTCTCAGTAGTCTAAAAATATTTTTTCTCCTAAATTAAGGTTGTTATTTCCAATTCTCAACCAATGCATCCTTGATTGACCACTGAATGCTAGAAGAACACCTGACACGAAAATATATTATTTTTGAGATCACAAATGGAATTAATGATTTAATTGATCATGAGCAAATCCTTTCACTTGTCAAAAGTTTCTTTAAGCAACCTTGTCTAAGAAAAGATTGTACTTGCTTAGGACATTAATTACCTATTAGGAATTAGAATTGTGTTTATATAAAAGGATGTAGAAATCCAGACCCGGTGGAAAACTTACCAAGCAAGTGTGAAAACTTGACATATAGAACTTGTTTCTTCAACCACAATTTCTCTTTTGCACAAGGTCCTAAACGAAGTTTCTACCACTGATAAGTTGGTGCTTGACAACTGCTTTGACCATAAGCAGTCCCTCTGCTAATCATTGACAAAATTTTGAAATACTAGCCTTGCCAGCATGACTCGTAAATTAATTCTGGATTTTAAAGAGAACACAACCAGTCACACAATTGAATGATTTGCTTTCAAATTAAATATCAATAAATACAGAGCATTGCGAAAGTGGAGCTGTGGACATTAAGAAGTACTGACAAAGGTTATATAGGATAATTTGAGATTGATTGCTCCCGGTAAATTTTGTCCCCTGTGATACAAAGTTCTGTAAATGGAAATTAATGATTATTTTACTAAGCTAAAAGAGAATAAAATATTCTAGTATCCGGTGTCATTTGATGGGGAAAGTTTATGTAAAAAGAACCTCATTTTGTCATGTTCTTGTTACACACCATCTTCTGACCTTAAATTCCTTTAAATTGCGAGACAGATAAACTTGCTTCACTGCAATAAAATCGATTTATTCAAATAATCAAGTTTCCATATCAACAACTGAAATTACATATGAGAGAGTATACAAAAATCATGTTATAGCTTATCAGTTGTTACATACCTTAAGTTTCTTTGATTGGATTTTGCTGTCTGGCATACTCATGCCTACCATGATGCTGGACTTGTCACCACAATGCATCATTGGACGACCAATTAATACTAAAACCACACTGTGACATGAAATAGAAACTATTATATAGGATTAAAGATATTCTGTATGTGAAGCATAAATCCATTCCATAAGCACAAGTTCTTTTCAGCAACATTGGTGAATAAAATGATATATACTCATAAGATAGTGTCTATCGTCAGTAGCAATTTATTTTCAAGAAAGATAAAAAGCATGAAGGAAATGCAAATGTGAAACCTGGACATTGAGTTCTTGAGGATTTTCTTTGCTGTTCAGTAATGGAGTATTATATTATCAGCATAGATAGCCTTAGTAGCAAATCAACTGCGTGTGAAGAATCACAGGATAATAAGCCAGATACTCTGTAATAGTATTTTTGATTAAACATAAACCAATGAAGAAAAAATAGAGAGAAGTTACCAAGCATAACTAATCAATTTGATCTTTGGGGCAGAAACACAATATTGTTCCTTTCTAGCAACTTCAACTGATAATTCTCCATTTCTGAGTAAAGTCATTTAGAATGACTCCGTCCTCCTCTGGTTGGTCGCATAATCACCCTCCACTGTATTTTAATGAAAAAAATTGCAGTGAGACAAAAAGTAATTTTTTTGGAACTGGAAGTTGAATCTTTAAATATAAAGATCCATGCCTTAATATTAACAATACCACTTAAAAGAACAGGTTGCAACCTTTAAGAAGTAAGGAGATGTTATGCTATATATTTCGAGGCTAATTGCCTCTGTCAATCTTCTCTAGTATGATAAGAGCTCCTGTCATATCTCTTCTTATAGTCTTTTGATTTCTTCTAAACTTGGTCACTGCATCAAAACTAAAACATGGATGTTAAGTTTTCTTAATAAGAAATAAAAATCCGTTTCAAGTATCCATATAAGCATAAGAAACCCAAATAAGTCATAAAAGGATCTCACAGAGCCAATTTACAGCAAAATGAAGAAGCTCCCTAACATGTTGCATAATCGATCCAACATTCAAAGCGTAAAGTTCATTAAGGGAAAACTTCTCGGATGTAACTGCTTTTGCATGGGCTGAAAATATTTTCCAACCTTAATTGTTCAACCTGATAGAAAACTAAGGTTGTTATTTTGTAATGATTGCAAAACTTCTAAAGGACATAATCAAGAAAAAACAGAGACCTTATGCAGAAAATAAAAAACAGAGCTCACAAAGGTAACAGAAATGAAAGATGTTATAGCAAGTCCTCCTCTCTTCTCCTGTTGGTCAAATTTTGCTATTCTCTTTCCTGTACATCAAAAAACATTATAGCCACTTTGAAAATTAAATTCCTTTTCCCATTGGAAAAACTCTAACTTGTAACATTGATTCATGATTATTAGCATTGACATTTGGATTCTTGAGTTGCGCAAAATATGGATAAATCATGGACTATGTAAAATTCTTTTGGTCAATTTACTACCTGGTGTGTGTGTGTGTATATATATATATATATATAAAACATAAATTCAACATTATACCTATAGAACTTCAATGTTGAATCTATATATCAAAAGATTGCAATAATAAACAAACTTCACAAGACATTATCCCCAGAAAAATCGAAACAGCTTAGCTGAAAAATCAAAATAGAGGTCATACAGATAACAGAAATGAAAAGCATTACTGCAAATCCTCTTCTCTTCTCCAGCTGATCACATTATGCTATTTTCTATCTTGTAGACCACAATGCATTTTAGCCATTTTTATAAGTTTCTTTGCCCCGCTGAAAAAAACCGAACCCTGAGACATAGATTCATGATTATTAGCGTCAAAAGCTTGAGTAATGCAAAATGGATAACTCAAAGACTATATAATCTTCCATTGACCAATATATTACCAAGATTAATACTTTCACAAATCAAAAGCAGAGAGGATTTCTAGAGAAACCTGTTGCATGTCTGTGTTTTAGCATATTGAAGTTCATTTCAGAAATTTGAAAATAAATTCAAAAACCATGTTGCACATTTGAGACAGTAGCGCTAACTTGATACTAAATATGATCTAGTTCTAGATTAGAAATACAAAAATTGAAATAGGATGGTCAATAATCACCTGTGGCTTGTGGGTTGCTGGTAGCTGCTGTCAAATTGATAATTCAATTTGGACTTCCTTGTAGGTACGAGTACGACCATCAATTTGATGTGCTTCAGGAATAGGACATTTATGAATTATCACTGATATATCGAGTTTTGTCTTCTGGAAAAGGCCACCTGGTAGCGCATTTAACTTGGTCTAGCCTACACCGTAACGAGCAACCGGGAGCTCAACCGCTCATGGTGGTGTCGACGGTGGCTGGGGACGGTGAAATGGTGCTGGTCATGGTGGAAAACGAATCACCGGCAGTTGAAGAAGGTGGTTTGTAGCCAAGGGAGGCTTCCAGTGGCGGTTCCCGGCAGCCGGGGGCGAAACGATGATCCGAAGGTACCGGGAGGTAGCTATCGATCTGGGAAGCGAGGACCAGTAGCTGGGGAGGTGCAACATCACCGGAAAGTGAGCGAAAACTCGCCTGGAAGCCGAAGAGTCACAATCTGTAAGTGATAAAACGCGCCGGAAAACCGTCAAATCGGCGGCAAGGAAGATCGGAGAAGGTGAAATGGAGCTAGGGGAAGATGACCCAACACTCGGGAAGCCAAACCTTCTCCGGAAGATGAAAGGTCGCACGAAGGAAGCCCAAACGTCGCCGGATTCCGTTATATCTACGGTGGAGATGATGGTGGAACATGAACCGGCACAAGGGTAGCTCAAGGGTTGCCGGAAATGGCCGGAACCCGGCGAACGGTGAGGGTTTTCTGGCTGCCCTTCTGGTTTTGCCGAACTTCATTTATGTATATAGTAATCCAGGTAAATTTTTTGGTCCCTGCACGATTGAAAAGTGACAAAATAAACCTCATAGAAATATGACAGTTTAACTCCTGAACTGCATAAAAGGGACAAATTCAGCGCTAATCAAGTAATCAATAAACCACAACCTAATATCGGCTTACACAATTACAAAAATTCATAAATTCATTAGAATGTGATGTTCATGAATAAAACCATAACGTAATATCGACTTACACAATCACAAACATTAGAATGTGATTTTCATGAATAAATTCGAAAATTATCTCAATATAAATTCAATTAAATCACAACTTAGATATTTTAATCACTTTAATAGAGTCATGACATTAACAAGGCTGTAGAAAAAGTGGCAAATATATTCAATAAATGACCTCATTGAACTTCAATTTCGAAATCACCTTTTAAGGACGATAAAATGTAAATATAGAAATAGAAGCTCACCAAGGAAATGTAAAAACCATAAATTGAGCACTTGTTTCATCGCATACATGTTATAACGTTGATCTATCAAGAAATATTTAATTAAATCATGTTAAATAGCTTCACAGCACCAAAACAAAATATTTGCATTGAGTTTATTTAATAAGGAAAACAATGTATTATAGTATCAGATAAGAGTAACCAAACCTCAATGAGCAATCAAAGGATTTTACAAACAAGCTGCATGATCAATCCAACGGTTGGATTACCGGAATTACAGATAAAATGATCTTTATGTAACTGGTTTTGACTGGTCTTAAACTACCTTCTTTTAAACATCTGATACAAAATTAAGGGCGTTATTCTGTGATGACTATTAAACTTCAAAAATGGCCTTATCATCAAGGGGAAAAAAAAGTTGTGAAACAGAGAGCTTTAGAAGAAATTCGAACCAGAGCGTAAACAGGTAATAGAAATGGAAAAGATTATTGTAAATCTTCAAATTGTTGTGCTGTCCTGTCTTTTAAGCCTCTCTGACTAATAAATTTGTGCCTCAGACTGAACATTGATTGAATATTAATTAAAGAATGTGAAATCCAAGGATAAAAGACTACACGGAAAGCCAATCACCAATCACCTGGTTTCTCATATCAGACATGAGTAGCACCAGAAAAGTCATTGCACCTCTGAATACCGGATTTGGGTCAAACTTCTCAAAGCCTGCAGAAACAGTAAAAATTATTTAACAAATGAACTTCAAACTTTAACATTTTTAATAAGTAATTTTTGAAAAAACAACAATAAATAAGCTGAAGTGATTGAACATTTTAAAAGAGATTGAAAAGATAAGTTTGTGCTGTTGCTTCAGTCAATAATATAACAAAGAGCATACTTAAGTAATTACCTGTGGCTAGTGGGTTGATGTTTATTGCTTCCGTTAGACCCATTTATCATCCGAATATCCAATATTGATGGTAGGGATGTGAGAGATCTTGGACCAGTCCTCACCTCTTCCTCCTTCGTATCGTTTTTTTAGAATAGGACATCCACAAATCTCCAATTTTTTGAGTGTTGTCCTCTGCAGAAGGCTGTCTGCCAGTGCCTTTAATCTGTAGCAGTCTATGATTTCCAAGGTAGCAAGACATGGCATGAATCTAATATGTTCTTCTTTTTCTCCCTTCTTTGTATTCTCGTAAGTCCACTCTTCCCATTCTCCTAAACCCCAAAGTTCGAGTGTTTTCAATTTGGGGAACAAGGCAGAGGATGAAGATGATGAAGAGGCTCCACTTTCAATTCCCCAAAATTCATTATCCACTTTTTTCACATTTCTCATCCAACCTATACATAGTCCTTCAAGGGATGGCAATTCTCCCAAAGCATGCAAATTCTTACAGTTTACGCAAGATTCAAGAAATAAACTCTTCAGCTTTGTCAATGACGCCTTCCAAGTGGAGGGGAAAGTTCTGCCTGCGTAGTATTTAATTGACAACCGCTCTAATTCTGGAGGTGGTTGTAAAGCTTCAAGGACTACTTCATAATCCTCACACGAGTCCCCTTCTTCAAAACCTTTCCAGTAGACGCTACCCCTAGCAACATCTTTCGTTCCCTTATCGAATTGCAGTTTCAGATCAGTAATGTATTTCTTATTTTTGAGTGCTTCTTTCATTTTACCCTCACTTACATTTGTTACATTTCCCAACCCTCTTATTTGAAGGCTCCCTTCAAGATTATTCAAATTTTTAATTCCTTCGAGACTACATGCTTTGCTATCATCATCACCACCACCACTTACAACGAATTCCGATAATGTTTGGAGACCTGTTAATTTCTCAATCCCTTTTGGTATGTAAAGCAATGACGATGTCGTATTTTTTAAACACCTCAAATTTACTAATTTTTCTATGCCACAAGGTAATTCACTTACCATAGAACCATCAATATCTAAAGTGTGCAAATTATATAATTCACACAAACTTTCAGGTAATTTTGTGATATTTTGCCTACCAAAATCAAGATATCTCAAATGTATCAATTTTCCTATCTCTTTTGGAATCTCCATAACTTCTTGATCATAAAAATTTGCGGTGAACTTCAATGCCCTTAAATATGTTAATTCACATAACTTTAGATAAACATCACTTGACAATGAATGGCTATACTTAATCACAAGACTACGTAGGCTTTTGACGCTACAAATGGACATGGGAAATGGAACCTCTTTATTAACCTTTAACATTAAATGACGAACATTTTTGTTAGAAGAGTTTATAAACAGATCATCATCACCACTATTGACTTCTATAGCAAGACATTCACCATCACTTAAAAATAGCGCAAAGTCATGCACTATATCATGCATCTTGCAATCCTCTATAACATCTTTTGATTTTGAAAATTCTTGGAAGAAAGATCGTGTTGCTAAGTGGTCAAAATACTCTTTGCCTATTGTCTCNAAATCTATATTGAAGTCTAAAACTGATCATTTACTTACCCTATAAGTAGTGTTCATTGAAGTCTAATAACAGTTCATCAAGCAAAAGCACATGCATTTAAAAGAAAAATAGTTAAGTTTGAACTTTGAACCAATGAAGGCATATCATCTAATTCAAAAAATGTTTCACCCTCTACACAAAAGTAAAATCAAAGAATTGAAGAAGTCAATTGAGGAACTATAAGTCTTCAAATTAAGCTCAGTCAAGTGCACAGGAATTGGTCTATTCCACTGTCATAAATTTAGTTGTAGGATATACCGTTTGGTAAGAAAAGTAAAGTGACTTTTCTTTAGTACATAAACGTTTGCTCGTTTTTAGTTTAAAAAATTTGTAACTACTTATTTATTTACTAAAATGATACTTGGCTTCGAATTAATGTAGTCACCAATATTTTTATTTGAAACTATTTCATATAGTCACTAATATCACATAAAAGTGACTTTTATCATAATACCAAATTATGTTACAACTTCTAGGAAAATATATATTTTCATTGCTAAACAACCATATTCACATATGTCCATGGCTACAAAACCAACACTTTCATCTGTGCATAACCAAAAAAGCCAAAAGGCTTATTTACATATTCAACCTAAGGTATCTAAAGAGCTTATATTTTTTCAAAAAGAATATGTATTCATGTACAGCTAGATAACACTTCATGTATTCATAGCTAGACAACCGAAAAAATGCACATGTAAGTGAAAGATCTTAAAAGCTAGACCTTCAAGTTCCACAAAGACCTCAATCAGTTATTAAAAAAAACATAATTCTTTATTTTTTTTAAATGGGATGAACCAAAATATCATAATTCTCACCTGATATCAGTACTGACTACTGACTGTGAACTGTGAAGAACCACCGTCCACTGAACTGATGAGTGATGATCTGAAACAGGTCTCTGAAGTCTGAACTGTGATGGCCGAATGATGTGTCTGACAAGAAACATAAAGATTCAGATTACTATCATTATCATTTCAACATTTTCACAAGCTAAAAAGAGTGAAAAACAATATATTTTATACCTTTGAAGAAGTCATCGACAATGTAACATCGACTGCAGCCGCTGAAATGAAAGGGTTTACAGATTGGAGAAAAATCTGGCGTCTTCGGCGAAGGAGACGGCGAGAAGAAGTGGTGGACGAAGGAAAATCAGTCGTAACACGCCATCATGGCTTCGTTGTTTGCTCGGCGAGATTGGAGAAAAATCTGGCATCGTCGACAAGATTGGAGAGAAAATCGATGAAGGTGACGGCGAGAAGAAGCAGAAAATGGGTTGTAACAGGGATCGACTGGAGACTTAAGATTTAGGGTTTTCTTGTTTTCAAACTTCCAGTCGCGAAAATTGCATCAAACGTGTTTCACAAACTATTACTTGGGAAATTGGGGGTCATTTGTCATCTTTACAATGTTTTGGCTTTCAAAGTATTATAACCCCCAATACTAGTGATAATAGCGGAAATACCCTTGCGAGCCACTTAAAGCTGGCGAGCTTTTCGAGCCGAGCCAGATGGGACTCGAACTCGGTTCAAAATGTGAAAATATAGAGCGAAACAAGTCGAGCGTGAGTTTTCAATGAGCGACAGCCGAGTCGCTGGGCTGACACCCCTTATTTATGATAGAAACCAAAGCAAACTATACAATACCAAACATTGTTTCCTAATCCTAATATGTTTAGAAATCCTTATTATACATTTCTATGCATAAAATTCTATTAATACCCCGTTTCATCATCAATTACTTTGATATTCTCATATTACTTTATCTTTGATTTTTTCTCAGTTACTATTTATAATTCTTTCTCTTAGCAATCAATTAATGGCACATCATCAAGAACAAGAAAGCTCTACTGTCATGGGCTACCTTGTTAACCCCGAAAAACCCCAACCCGTCCTTCATGTCTCTTACTCACAATCAACAGTTGCCACAGACCACTATCAAGAAAACCAGAATGGAAAACAAGAACTACAAGAAAAAAGTTTTAATTATAGCTTTTTAGTGAGATGGTCTATACATAATATGGCCTAGATTGTGTGGTTGTGGTTGGGTTTTTGAGTTGGTTAATGGGTTGGCTTATTAAATAATATGAGTATTTTACTTTGGGCTTACTGGAATTGGGCTATAGATTGGTGGGCTTGATTTGCTTTTGTGGCCATGAGACCAAAAGTTCTTTGTTTTGGGTTAGTATTTGATTGAAATTGGTGGAATGATTCACATCGGTTAGATTGTCATTTCTGTGAATATGGAAGCATAGGTAGGGGGTTAATTGTAAGGATTTAGATTATAAAGGGTTTAACTAAGAGTTTATAAAAACATGAAGTTGATCATAAGGATTTAAAAGTGTAGGGGTCTGACTGCAAGAATTTAAAGGTTTAGGGGATTGAACGGATCCAAAATGTTTGGGACTAAAAAAGAATGAAAAATATGGGAGGTAAATTGATATTTTACATGTTCGTATTTCGGAATGTTACACTCACTTTTACATGATGACTTCATTAAGAAATATACGACAACTATATTCGAATACTTGCATGAAGGCATGTAATATCATTGAACGTTGGGAAATTTAGAGGTGTAATTGTGGAAGCTTTATTACAGACTGTAACCATTGTTTTAGTACTCGTCTCCTTCTAAACATCAACTAGTACTTATATTTGACCTAATGCACGCGATGAGATAGTCCACTCTATCGCACGATGACATGACATTCCATCCTATCAGGACATGACAAACGTTTGACGAGCTCTAGGCAAGATTACACCCAGCAGGTATTAGCTTGGGTGGGATTTTATGATGATTACACTAGGTAGGTATTGGCCTAAGTGGATTATGATACCCCGAGGATAGACCTTGGGTGGGATTTGTCAGTGCTACACTAGACGAATATTGGCTTGAGTGGATTATGACACCCCGAGGATAGACTTTGAGTGGGATTTGACAGGATGACACTAGGTAGGTATTGGCCTAAGTGGATTATGATACCCCGAGGATAGACCTTGGGTGGGATTTGTCAGTGCTACACTAGACGAATATTGGCTTGAGTGGATTATGACACCCCGAGGATAGACTTTGGGTGGGATTTGACAAGATGACACTAGGCGGCTATTGGCCTAATTTGGATATGATTAGCCTCATGCGTGCATTGAAAAGGCCTGTACTACCGAACAATGATGATCATATACCACCGTACTGGGACAAGATAGAGACATGACACAAGCGAGATTACAACTAACGGGTATTGGCTTGGGTGGGATAATGATTGCACTAGGCAGGTATTGGCCTAGGTGTGATTTCATATTATTGGACGGGTATTGGCCCATTGTTACACTAGACGAGTATTGGCCTAGGTGGGATTTCATATTATAGGGCAGGTATTAGCCCATTGTTACAACAGGTGAGTATTGGCCCATTGTTACACCAGACGAGTATTGGTTTAAGTGGGATTTCATATTATAGAGCGGGAATTGGCCTAGGTCGGATTAATATTATTAGGCGAGTCTTGGCGTAGGATGGCTCCCTAAGCAGACATTGGCCTAGTTGAGCAGCTAGTTGCTTGTCTATATTAGGGACTGAGAATTGAGATGTACGATGTAGGTCCCTGGATACTAGAGTGGTGGTTATAGTGGTTGCATTGGCCGAATGAGTGGAATTTATAAATACCCAATGGGTATAGGCTGAGGTGGAATTTGTGAATACCTAGCGGGTATAGGTTGGGGAGGAAGTTGTGAAATACTCAGTAGGTATGGTCTGGAGTGGAATTTGTGAATACCCAGTGGGTATAGGTTGGGTGGCATTTGTGAATACCCAGCAGGTATTAGCTTGAGCAAGAGTGAGTTTTGTGTAGGGAGATATATATTCAGCTTTGGTGATGGTTGTGTCGGTTTATGAGATTTCTAATATGAACGATCCATGGCATTTGGGAAATTAATACGAGTGTGCATAATTCTTGTTTGGCATGAGTAGATACGATTTAAGGTTCTATGGTATCCAAAAGTTATATTGGGTTATTGTTGCATCATTAAGCGAGTGGTTATATACTGCATAACATGCAAACCGTTTTCCTCATGCATGTTTTTAAAGCTAAAAGTTATTCTTGTAAAACTATATTATCCATTGACTAGGCTTTCTAGCTCATTGTTTTATGTTCCACCCCTCCTTCCCCCCTTCCGGCGCTTGCAGATGGCATATAAGGTACTTGAGGCACATGCTAAATGCTTTCGATTTGCCACAAATGCATGTTCATTTGCATGGTTGGTACCATTGACAGGCCGAACTGACAGATAACATTCTTCCACATGAAGCTTTTTATTTCATGGTTTCTGATTTGAGCGAAGGCTTCTGTTTCTATCCACTTGGTGAAGTAGTCAGTAACCGTGAGCATGTATACCTTTTGGCCTAACGCAATTGGTAGCTTGCTCACAATATCCATCCTCCACTTCATGAATGGCCAAGGCGTGAGGATAAAGTTGAGCCATTTAGGAGAGAGGTGTGATACCTTGGCAAAACATTAACAGTTGTCATAATTCTTAGCGTACTTAGTCGAGTCGAAGCGTATGGTTAGCCAGTAGTAGCCAACTGTCAATGCTTTGTTGGCGAGGCTATGTCCCTTAGTGTGATTGTTGCACTCGCCTTCATGAAGTTCTGCGAGCACACATTTTGCCTCTTCAAGGATGATGAATTTGAGGTATGGTCGTAAAAACGATTTTTTGAGTAAGTGGCCTCATGGATGGTAAACCGTGCTGCTTTAGCTTTCAACTGTTGTGCCTCATTCTTGTCTACTGGGAGTTCATCATTTTCCAGGTAATGGAGGATAGGTGTCATCCATGACTTGTATGGGCCAACTGGTGCGACTTCAGCTGGGCTAGCT